CTCCACATGCCCCCATTCCCCCTCCCCAAAATGTACAAAAGTAAGGCTTAATTTTGGCAGTCAGGATTCGTAGTAGAGATGATATCTTTTATTACACCAACAAGATTTTTGGAAAAACAAATTCTTTAATTGCAAGCTTTTAGGCACAAACACCCTTCATCAGGCATCAGAGAAAAGATTGTAGAAGTTCTCCTGGGTAGAAATGAAAGTTCATATTTCATAGGATTTCACAGAGGTGTCAATAGATGGAAAACTCCACTGGGCAGTCAGTTCATAGCTGGTATGAAGTCTCTCATCTCCTGTGAGGATCTGTGATGATGCAAATTACCGCAAACAAAGGAAGGTGCAGGGTCTCAGGTTTCAGGTGATCACAGTTGCTTCCTAATGAGGAAAATGGAAAATATGAAGATTTCGTTTTTTAAAAATCAGCTAAAATTTGATATCTTCCATGAGTCGGGTATCCAGATTGTAGCAGCATTGGTCTAGGGGAAAAGGCAATCAGGACTCAGAGATGATATCTTTCATTAGACAAACCAGTTTTTTGAAAAAAAGCCAACCCATTAATTGCAGGCTTTCAGGCAAAAACACCCTTCATCAGGCATTGGAGAAAATATTGTATAAGTTCTCCTGGGTAGGCTTCATTTCGAGCTTTTATGCAATCACCTCTATATATACAACCCAAACGTTCAGAAATCGGGACAAAATATTTTTTGAAATAAAATGAAAATAGGTTGTTGTAGGTGTATGATTTTTAGTATAAACTTTGGGGTTTTTTTCCAGTTCCAAGATGGTAAACCCCCTTCCCAAAAGGATTACTTCCGGGGCAAGGGGAGGGACTTCTGGTGGCAAAGGTCAGGGGTTAGGGGCAGGACTTCCAGTCCCAAGATGGCAACCAGAGGGTGGTGCACCTGTCAAGTTGTGGGGCTACCCTTGTGGCTGTAAGTAGGTCACCAAAATTCATTTAGCAGCCCTCTAGCCGAAATAATTCCCCACCCCTGCTTTAGGCAAACCTACTCTTGCCATTTAGTGGGTAGGTGCTGTAATATCTACTTATTATATGCAGTCACTCCAGAGTAACCTTAATATTTTTCCTCTCTATTTCGTGGTATGTAAAACTGAAGCAAGTTACCCTGGTATAAGTGTTGTTTTGTTCAGGCCTTTAGCATTTAAGCATCAGAAAGTAAAACTATCTAGCAAAGGAAACTGAGCAGTCTAGTTTCACTGCTCAGGCTAAGTGTATCCTTTAATTTTGCAGCTCAGATGCAGATATGAACAGTATACATCTGTTCCTTTATTTCAAATAATTTGACGTAAATGTATAGTAACACAAGTTTGGTATTAACATATTTTGTATTTTTAATTGACGGTAAGATAGCCTTTGAAAATTACATCTACTGCAGCGCGTCCAACTTGGGCAGTGAAACTGGACTGCTCAGTTTAAAGACGTGTAGGGGCGATGCAGTCTTCCCCAGACTGTTTATTGGTGTTCTTTGAATAGTTTTCTCCCAGGCTGTAAAGATGGATTGAGGCACCAAATTGGTTTATAGTGGTAAGTGTCATGAAAAAAGAGCAGGAAAATGAAGCTGCCTGACACTCAAACTGCTCCTGTCTTTAGTGCATATGTACTTCAGTGGCTGCACTTAGAATGGAGGAGCTTTCCACCATTTGTTTTCCTACAAAGTCAAAGGCTATATGCAATAAAGAATTTAAGTACCTAAAAGTCAGGCTCTCTGGTGCTTAACTCGTAGGTGCTGGGTCCCTGGAATGCAATCTGAAACCTTGCATTAGGTGTTTATGTTGATGCCTCGGGAGAATAAGGTGCCTTGGAATGGGATCCAGTTAGCTAGCCAAAAAGGAAAAGTTAAGGATAGGAGTGAGTCTTAAATCCTGTCCCTCTCTTGAGTATAAACACCTCATTCCACTTGGGACCCAAAGTATGGAACTGTGTCTTGAAGTTAAATACTTAAGCCAGTGGTTTTTGACCTTTTTAGGCGTTAGGCACCCCTTGAAAAATGCCAGACCTTAGTGTTCACTCAATTTTTTTTTATTATGGAAAAATAATAGAACAATTCTTTTGTTGCAGAGAACTTGGGAAAACCACAAGTCAGAATGTTTTTAACCCTGTGGATTCCTATTTGAAATCTCTGGGTTTGTCTTGTAAGTCGTGTTTACACACCTAACAGGGCTAACGCTGCATGGAACCTTGATTGAGGATCACTGGCCTAAGCCCTTTCTTCGAAAGAATAGAGCTGGTATCACTCATTAAAACATGGAGCCAGTTTCTCCTTTCATGTAACAGACTAATGGTTAGAGTACCTTGTCACAATTATCTCTTCCATTGCAACCTTAAAATTAGATGGTTGTAAGACAAAACCTGTGGCTTTACTTTGGAAACATTCAGAAGCTGAAGATAGCAAGGCCAAAGCATCTTCTCTAAATGCAGTTGCAGTATGGGAGCACATTGGATCAGTACTCTGTAACCTGTATTTGTTACTGTATTTGTCTTCTCTTCTCCAAACTAAATAAACCCAGTTCCCTCAGCTTCTCCTCATAAGTCATGTGCCCCAGCCCCTGAACCATTTGCGTTGCCCTCCAGTACACTCTTTACAACTTATCTACATTCTTTCTATAGTGGGGAGGGCCAAAACAGGACACAGGACTGCAGATGTGGCCTCACCAGTGCAGAGTAGAGTGGAATAATCACTTCCCTCGATCTGCTGATAACGCTCCTACTAATGCTGTTAGTCTTCTTGGCAGCAAGGACACACTGCTGACTTATATGCAGCTTATTGTCCACTGTAACCCCCAGGTCCTTTTCTGCAGAGCTGCTGGTTAGCCAGTCAGTCCCCAGGCTGTACCGGTACATGGGGTTGTTCCATCCTAATGCAGAACTTTGCATTTGTCTTTGTTGAGCCTCATGAGATTTGTTTTGGCACAATCATCCAATTTGTCTAGGTCACTTTGAATCCTAACCCTGCCCTCCAGCATATCTACTACGCCCTTCAGCTTGGTGTTATCTGCCGGCTTGCTAAAGGTGCATTCCATCCCATATTCCAGATTGTTAATGAAAATATTGAACAAAGCCAGCCCCAGGACCAACTCTAGGGGCACTCCACTTAATACCGGCTGCCAACTAAACATGAGCCATTGTACTACCCGTTGAACTCGACAGTCCAGCCAGCTTTCTATACACCCTGCAGTCCATTCATCCAACCCATACTTCCTTAGCTTGCTTTCAAGGATGCTGTAGGAGATGGTATCAAAAGCTGTACTGAAGTCAAGGTATATAGGATATCCACTGCTTTCCCTGCATCCACAGAGCCAGTTATCTCATCATAGCAGGCAGTCAAGTTGGTCAGGCATGACTTGCCCTTGGTGAGTCTGTGCTGACTGTTCCTAATCACCTTCTCCTCCAAGTGCTTAGAAATGGATTGCTTGAGGACCTGCTCTATGATTTTTCCAGGGATGGAGATTAGGCTGAGGCCTATAGCTCCCTGGATCCTCCTTTTTCTCTTTCTTAAAGATGGGCACTATATTTGCCCTTTTTCAATTGTCCGGGACCTCCCCCAATCGCTACAAGTTTTCAAAGATAGTGGCCAATGGCTCTGCAATCACAGACAGAATCCACAGGCAGAAACTCAAAATGAGAATGGTTACTTGCATTAGTGAAATTGATTTTTTTTCAAGATGCTTTGTACCTAACCTGCCCTCCATCTTTACTCCTTTGGAATGTGTCTCCTCTGGGGTTTTGAATTAATGGGAATGTGGAAAAGCTGTGGGAGCCACTCTGTTTCATATACCCTCAGAGGGTGGGTGGCATATGAGGACATTCAGGCCTTGGCCCCTATGGTCACTGCTGGTCAGAAGATTGTGTTCTCATAAGAATGAGGTGCATGTGCACCAAAAGAGGGGTCCCCGTGGAGGGGGAAAAACTTCTTGAAGGACAGTGTTACTGGAGGGTAAGTAACCATTCTTTTATATCAAGATTGACTTAAAAAAATTATTAGAAATGGATACATTAGCTTGAAAAATAATTGAGGTCACCGCCATGAATTTCAATTGCAAAAGCCAATGAGTCCTTTATTTCCTTCCCTCTTTTTAGTGATAATATTTGAGTGGAATTATTTTACTTTGTTGAAACAAGCTTCATATTTCTATTTGTTTTATTTCTAGCATATTATCAAGTTTCACCGTGCCTCAAAAGCAAATAAAAAACCCATGCAGTTGCCAAGATCTATGGTTAAATCACTACTCTACCAGATCCTTGATGGAATACATTACCTCCATGCAAACTGGGTGCTTCACAGAGACCTGGTAAGTCCTGTATATTTTACCTGATTAAGAAAAGTTCATATAGGTTTTTTTGGGAGGAGAAGTAGCAATCTTACATGTTGATCCCTACAGTTCTTCCTGTTATTGTCGCTGGATGCCATTGGAGGCTTTAAAAATGAAAACAAACTACGGTTTCACATTGTCTTTATCTGTAACATCTGAGCTAAGACAATGACACTGCATCCGGTAAACAGATTGCAGATACCAGTATCCAAAAACAATGCATCAGTCCACTGATATGTATATGTTAGTCATTAGTATAAGTATGTGCTTTGCTTTGAAAGGTCCATTCATTATGAAAAATGGATAATCTTTCACATTGTTTGGCTTTGTGTACAAGTTTATCATAAAAGTGAATGAAATAATAGTTTGTACTATGGGGTGTTTCTTTTCCATGTGATATTTTTTGTTGATTGTGGGACAAGACCTGG